AGAAATTCTCTACTAAATCTTGGTTAAAACGACGCATAAATAAATGTTGAATCTCAGAAGCGGTAATGCGCAAGTAATCCCACATTTTTAGAAGAGAATTTATATTTTCTTGTCAATATTTTAATACCTTAATTTTATTAGAAATATCAACTCCTTGTTTTGTAAATACGGTTAAATGTTTTAAATACTCTTTTATTTCCAAAAGATGTTCTATTTGATAATCCTCACCAGTAAAGGCTTGTCTGTATTTTACAGCATGAACAAGTTGTAATGAATTAAATATATCAAATAAATCATTCATTTTCCGAATAAAGTCAACTGTGACAAGAGCATCATTTGGAATAAAACGGGATACTATCAATTTTTGTAGACCGGCAGTTACCGTAGCACTCAGAACTTGTGTTGCATATCGAACTTTCATTTTCTCAAAATTATTAGGAGCAATATGGCTATCTGTAAGTTTTGGTGCTAATCTCATTTCGTTATTTTGATCTATTTTGTAAAATTGTTCGATAAACTTCCATAAGATAAATTCACCGTTATAATTAATATTATGTTTATAAAAATTATTTCGGATGGCTTTTATAGCATGCGGTGGATCAACAAAATAAGCAATCTGTTGCTCGTTAACAATAAAGAATGGTAAATTTTCGGTAACCCCCAATGCTTTTGCTGTTAATATAAAATTTCCGCCCATATCGGTGACAAATGCAATTACTTTATAATCAATCTCTTGTAATTTTTCAATAGTTAGAATTATAATAGGTTTCAGTTTATTAGCAGGAAAAGTAGAATGAAAAAAAAAATATGCCAAAGGTTGTTTCCAATTATTGCACATTCCTCTAAGCACTACAGCTACATTACATGCAGGCAACCCTGATTTTTCCTCTCCCAAGTCTTCAAAACCTATAACCTCATCTTGATTTATATCGTAATATAAATTTGGTTTTATGGAGGCTTCATCTATAGATAATACTTATCAAGAGAAGATTTTGAATTAATCAATTTTGTTTTTAAAAATTCAAATATAAAATCATTTAATCCCGGACGAATTTTTAAATTTTGAATCATACGTTGCATAGTTCTCACACTTGGCAAATGGAATTGTTGTGCCAAAAGATTATAGGTTTTGAATCCACTAAAATATAAAGTAAAACAAAATTTTTTAAATTCATAGGAGTATTTCCTACCCTTTGGTGACTTGTGATTTAGATGTACTTGTGTCTTTACATAAGTTGCAATTGCCGGTGGTAATAACTTATTTGTAACATTGCAATATTCTTCTACAGAAAACTTACTGATATTCTTTTTGATATTGTCTTTTTGTCGTTTCAATTGTCGTTTCACTTTTTGTAATTCTTTCTGTAAGGAATAAATTTTGCCTTTCAGTCTTCGTTTTCGTGGCGAATTATTTGACAACTTAGCATCTGTTTGTGTTTCTTTATCTTGCTTATTGTCCTAAATTTGGATCTGCTGATTTTCTTGTTCTTCTTCCTGTGTTTCCTCACCTCGTTTATTGTCTCCAAATTGTATCTGCTGGCTTTCTTCTCCTTCACTTAGAATTTGATTAATTATAGACATTTATTTATAAAAACAAATATAGTTTATATCTTTGAATAAATATATTTAAAGAGTACAAAATTAATGACATTTTTACTTACTGTTATTATTTGAAAATAATATCTCACTGTCGCAAAATAACAAATTATTTGAATTATTATCTTTAATTAATGATGTTGGAATGGCATGTGGCTGGAGACGATTTTTTAGATTATTTAAAAACATTGCCTCTTCAAAATGATTTCCACAAACGCGGTAATTCTTATGTAAATGTTCTATAGATGTTTCAATAGTACGTCCACAATTCGTTAACCATAATTGAGCTCTAAAAGATCCAATTATATAAATATATAAATGAATTAAAAAGTCCTTTAAATTTTTATAAAGATTTAATGCTAAAATAAAACAAAACAATAATAATAGAAAGGCTAGGATCCAAATAAGATCATTTAATATTCAAAATATAAACATATAAAACATTGCAGACATTTCAACACTAATCGGGTCATTACCAATGTTAAATAAATATAAAATATTACAACAGTTTTAAATCGAAGTATAACGTGAAATATAAGATACTTTCACCTATCCACAATTGCATGTGACCATTTTTTTCCATGGTTTAAATTGACATGTATGTCTGAAAAAAAATCACATAGAATTGTGGATAGATAAACGTACCTTATATTTCACATTATACGTCGATTTAAAACTGCACTGTAATATTTTAAATTTATTTAACATTGATATAATGATCCGATAGGTGTCAAAACGTCTGTAATGCTTTATATCTTTAAATTTTAAATATCGAATGATCTTATTTGGCTTGTAACCCTTCTATTATATTATTGTTTTGTTTATTCTGATTGAGCCACATTATTAATTAATGTTGATAAAACATTTATTTATAGCTTTTACCTTTCTGAACAACGCGGAAAACTAAAAAAACTGAGCCCAGGTACTCGTCCAGAAATATTTTGATAACCTGTCATTGTACAAGAAAATCCACCTCTTTTCATTATTATAGATTTCACTTTAAAAATTCGCACACAATATACAGTCATACAAGTCACAATTACGTAATAACTCTCTTAGCGGTCAAAAACGAAATCCCCAATTAGATTAAGTCACGTTAAGTTATAAGAGCGCGCCGCAGACATCTTGTCTGTAGTACAAACCGACGCATGCGCATTATAGAAACTCATGACATCAAAAAAAGTGGTGTGTCGTAACTGGTTAAACTGTGGCACAACCGTTAGGCGTTAGATTCGCTGACACAATGATATTAACGATTTTTTGTTCAAAATCTGAAGACACGGTAGTGTCTCGGCGCTAAGCCATGCGCGCCCGACTGCTGTGGCTACTTTACGCGAATCTGAGAATTTTGGGGGATTGAGATGATTCTCAGTAACAGCTGAACCGATCAAGTTCTACATACGCTCATAATCGATAGCAAATACTTAAATTGTATGATAAAAGTGCTTCGGGTTTACAACGCTTCGATGCGAATGATATTGCATATCTGAATTGTGCTAGGCTAGCACAACTCAGATATGCAATATCATTCGCATCGATGCGTTGTAAACCCGAATTTTGAACAAAAAATGCTTTCGCGAGCGGTCGCGCTCAAGAGTAAAGTACCCTAGGGCTTACAGGGGTAAAAAATGGTTAAAAATTTTAATTTTTTTATTCGATAGTACAAAGTCTCAGGAGTATTGTGTTAAAATTTCAAGTAATTTGGTGAAGAATTGACGGAGATATGATTTTTTAAATATTCTGCCTCGGAGACCCGTACGGACCCGCAGGTATAGATACGCGGCAGGTATACGACCCTCCGGCAGCGCCCGACCGTCGCCGTAACGGGTTTTTCCGCCGAAATTTCTTTGTGCATGCAAGACCCCTTTTCCTGTTTAGACGTGATGGAAAAAAAAAAAAATGGAAAATTCTCATCTTATACACGTATAAATGTATGTAAAACTTTAAACGCGTTTTTCTCGAAATGTTATTTTCAAAGTCGGTGTCCATCAGAACTCAGCGAATATGCAACCGATCGATTTCTACTTTTGCACACACTTTCTACACATATATGCCGAGGCCCCAACGTTCTTATTTTCAACTTTTTTTTTTCGATTTTACAGCTACAAAATGGCCGACTTTTAGTGCTGAAAAACACGATTTTTGTTTAAAAACGTTCTAAAAAAATTAGAAATAAAAAAAAATATATTCGGGCATCGTTCGGGCCTCGCTAAACATGTCCAGAAATGAAATCTTTTTGGATTTTTGCTTTCACATAAACCTATATCAAGTTACGAGGGACACCGCAAGGCGCTTCTTTTCTACAGCGTCTCCGAAAAATGGCTGCCATCGGCTGAATTTGGAATATTTTTACTTCAAATTTTCAGAAATTATAGTTCAAAATACACTTTATTAAATACACTTTATTGCGTAAATGTATGTCATAACGGAACACAGAAAAAAAATCACAAAAATATTGTATTTTTTCACTCAAAAGACCCCTGTAAGCCCTTAATATCGTTGTGCCAGCGAATCTAACGATTGTGCTGACTTGTGCTAGGCTAGCACAACTCAGATATGCAATTTTGTGGTATTTGAATGACGGATACGAATGTTAGCGTTATTTTTATTTCGAATTGTGAAAAATCGTTTTTCTGTCATATCTTTTGTTGTTGTCATTATTTTTGAATACCACTTTAGCACAATGTTAGCACAAATTAGCACAACCTTGAAAATTGAAAAAATCGCAAAGTGGGGGGCTGGCCTAAAATATAGTTTTTTTAAAATTTTTTAACGTATTTTCCGTATTTTGATATTAATATTCGAGCACAATGTAGCACAAACCTAGCACAATTCAGCATAATTCTCAAAATAAGTGAATTCATAAAGTGGGGGGCTAACTTACAATTAGTATAGGCACTTTTATCGTTACTTTATGTAAGTTAGGTTCTATTATATTCTATTATACGTTTAAAAATTAAAGATGACCCAAACGAGGTCAAAATGTCTGTTTATCAATTTGCTTTTTTTGTTCTGTAATAATTGTTTATAATATCTTTTTAATATATATTTATTATATTCTTTTGTGGATGATTTAAATATATTTTTGGCTCGTAGCCTTTGTATTATTATATATCGATTTTATAATTTGATAATTTCTGTCACAATACAATTGTAACTTAAATTACTAGGTACTTTAAATTAATAGAAGTTGATACATTTTTATTTACAATAGATATTGAGATAATTATTAATAGGAAGATTTCATTAATAATCGTTCACGATGCGTATATTTGTCGCTAATCGACATAAATATTTATTGAGTCTTCTAATTCACAAACATTAATTTTATTAATGATAATTTTTTTGTGAGTTTATCATATTTTTATATTGCGTACTTTGCATTAATACGGCGATAATAATTTAATAATGTTATAGATAATAAAATTGTCATATTCTTCTGTCTGCAGACAATTTTATGCAACCTCGTCATCGGACGATCTATTGCTTCGCCGCTCGCTAATGTTTGGTTGAGTCCGATACCGGCTCTTTCACCGTTCAAGCAGTACCACATACAAGACGGATCGGGATCTTATCAATATTCCTTCACGGGGCCGCATCATGCTAAAGCAGAAACTACTTTGAATGGTGTCACGCAGGGTGGTGAGTTTTTCTTTAAATTTACATATTTTAGCATTTTAATAAAAGAGCTCTTTCTTGTGTGAGATCAATCACGGAGTTGGGATGCTCTATGTAAACTTAAAACAAAATTTTCTTGATAGATGACAATGCTTGTCACGATTCGCAATCTAAAGCGCGTACCGCGCAAGTGCATAAATGGAATGCGTTCTTTTGTGAAGTGTGTTATAAGAGGTGTATTACCGGCCTACGTTCGCGAGTGAATCTTTCGCTAATGCTCATCAGCATGACGTAAGAAAGACGCCCATACACCACATGTCTCTGCAAATTTCTGCGAATGACAATGCGCGATTGCGATCGCTTCTCTTTCGATTGTAATACGATGACTCACGATACATGAAAAATGAGTAACAAACACGCGCGAAATTGTGTGAATATAGTTATACGTTATCACATTGAGATAAGATCTATTTAATTAATGTTATTTTACTAGAGCAACAACCATAATAATTACGGCAAATAATGTACACAATATTAATGACATATATTAATAACATGCAATAATTTATATCGTAAATATGTTTCTCCGCGAACAAGCGTTCTCCAAATGTAATAGTACCGTCAAAGAGTATCATTTTTATTTGTGCTTTCAGGATATTCTTATATTGACGCAAATGGAATTTTGCAAACGGTCTCGTATATAGCAGACGATAAGAATGGATTTAAGGTTAGTGCAAGCAATCTACCACAACCACCCAGGAATGAGCTGCAAACTATACAGGACATATCAGAAGTAGCAGCGGCGAAGAGAAATCATCTTACAGAATTGCAGAAGTCGCATCAATCAAATTGGCAGGATCAAACTCTTGTGTCGTACAAAATCCTGCCGTCGTACTTCAGTTTCGCCCAAATCCAGCCGGACGGCAAGAACAAAGCTGAGTTGAATTTGAAAACGCAAGAAATAGAGGTATGTAAATTGCACCGATATCTCAATCGAAGTTTGCCCGAATAAGAGGAATATGACAGTAAACAGGAAAAATTCGTGTACTTTTATATATATATATATAAGAATTTATAGTACCGCAATCGTTGTAGAATTTTTTGCTTAACAAGAGAATTTTAATAAAAGTGTCAAAAAATTTTATATTATAAATAACAAAAACATGAAACAATATAATAACAAAGGAAAATAAATGAATTGAAGATTTGAAGGACTCTTTTATTTAATAATAATTAACATGTTAAATAGGGCAAATAAGAGTCAAATTACAATTTGAAATCTAAATCTGATAATTTATTCTAATCAGGAGACGCGGTAGCTTCTCCGGCCATGTTCAAAAACTGCGAGACGCTACAAGTCTCTTATCCCGAGCCATCAAAGTCCATTTTTGGGAGGTGCATAACTATTAAAATATAAAAAATTTTGAATCAAACGTTATATGTCCTGAAAGGCGGCATCACCACGAGTAATTTGAGCCAAAAAAATTTTAAATCGGTCAAGCC